TTATGGCACATAATAATCAGAAGACGACAATCCTGCGGGAAAAATATTATGATTACAAGAACTACATAAAACGAACGCGCTATCGAGAGAGTGTCTCTCGTTCCGCATATTAAAGCCTAAGAACTTATCAGACTTACTAAATTAAGAACCAAAACTGTTCATCGTAATAAAATTTGGTAGCTTGATGTTTTTAGTATTGCTGTCCATACACCCTTTCACTTTAGCCGTATTTTCACTGCATGTTTCGGTTGTACTAGGCCATCATCAGGCGCGTATCTCAAACATCAAACGGTGTGATGACAGTAGTTGGAATTATCATAATGTTTGTTAACCTTAGCGCAAGGGCATCTGAGGATGGCCTAGGAAGGTCGAAATTTTAGTGTGAAAACAACTATGATAAAATTTGTAGATTTCAATAAATAAATCAATACATAAATTGTATATATGAGACACCGGGATGCAATCCTTGAAAGAATTCAAATGTTTTTTTTTCTCAAAGAAACGTTCCAGTTACAAGGGGAAGAAAATTCTGTTAGCTAAATGCAAAAGATGTGTTATCAGAAGCAACCATAAAATTCGTGAAAATAAGTATTTTTGATCAAGTTTTCGAAGGGAACTAAAGAAAGTTTAAATACCTAAGGCATCTGTAAGTTTTGAAGACTGTGGAATTGAACCTTCTTTATAAAGTTTCGATTCACGGTTGCAGTCGATCAAGACTCTATTCGAGATGAAATGCTGTCTGCATAGTTTTGCAACAGTGACTGGAGAAAACGTTTTGTCCAAATTATTTTATCTTTTCCTCAATCCACACGTAACGTTCCTGTAATAATTGCTATTTTCAAAGTTCGGTCCGATTAAATCAAGGAAATTTTTTTGTGTGGGGTGAGGACGAACATGTTCGTGGACGAAGAACCGAGAGCAAGACGTGTATACGGACTGCATAATATTCGCGTGGGCTGGAAGATCACCACAAATTGTTCTGTGTCGGTTGAGTCATTCGCAAGTAACCGCAGAATCCGGAGGGGCAGTGGGAGTTGTAGGCGGTACAGGTCAAGAAATGACCAGCAGATATTCACACTTCCTGTCTTCACAATGCTGTCGTTATCATTGTAATGGCTCGCTGATCACATGGCGCTGCCAAGTCAGACGACTGACTTGCGCCAAAGTGCAACACAGTTATGTTTTTTTTTATAATGAGCCCTATCACTTATCGGCGGGGGCTAGATCAAGGGTTAACAAACAAAGGCCAGCCGATGTGTCGTGTGGCACGCGTAAATTCTTTTGTAATTTGTGTCATCGTATGTAATGAAATATAGTTTCATAATATCAGAAAACAAACTGTAAAAGTTGTCACTATTTGGCGGTACTTGTCGCTGTTAGAAGTACGGCGAAATTAGAAACGTCAAATCAAGAATTAGGACGTGCCTTACTGACGAAAACTTGGACAGAAATTTCCCCGATGTTGAAAGATTTTCGTAACAGAATCTGTCATATAACTCGCTAACTACTGTACCCATAAAAGGAAGGTGTCGGGTAAAAATATGCGAAGCTGAAAATGATCGACGATATCGCACTGATGATGGAGGCAGCAAGCACCTCTGAAACGTCGGTGAACTTCAACCAGACTACATCCTAAAAGTCATCTTCATACTCGCCGCTGTGAGAATCAAAATGTTAACAAATGTTTGAACCCCTTTAACATAGGAAGTTCTTAGCATATTTAATACCTTGTTACAGGCGAGTCGATAAACAACGCTGAATGTGTCCCGAGGTCGGATAAACGTTGAGAGCTACCGGGCAAGAGAAAAATGTACCTCTGATGATACAGCCACAGGTGTTGGCAACCTTCTCGTTATTGTGAACAGCAATGGACATTCTTTGTCGAGGGCCACAGAGAAAATTAACATCGTGGACAGTAAGTAAAACTATTTGTTTAACTTACAAAGTACTGCTGGTATACACTTGAAAACTTACAATATCTGTGCTTATTCATAAAACTTAGTTTAATGTAAAGAATGTAAGACTTGAGGTTCTCACAGCGGTGAGTACGAAGATTTCTGTCTTCTGGGTTATTGCGCTGTGTAGTCTGGTCGATGTTAACCAACGTTTCAGAGG